GGGGGGGGTGGGGGGAAGCAGCGTTCTGCACAGGCTTGTCTGTTCTCACAAAATCACAACTGTGCCTATGGCCAAGCAGGGGAGACAGTAGTGTAGAGGCAAGATGCATTTTTGCTCCCATGCCAGGCCATCCTGTTGTGTACTAAGGCCCAGGTTCACGTGGCTTTGATTGAGTTCTGGTGCCTAGAACTCCCTAATGACTGGGTCCAGATCTTCAGAGCTGTCTTTGCAATAGGAAATCCTAGATGTGCAGGAATTTTGCCTGGGTGGGTCTGGGTTTCGTTATACAGTTGTAAGGAGAGAAGAGCATGAAAAACTACCTAATACTGGAACAGATGAGTAGCTTGCCTAGATCCTGCACACTGGTACAGCCTGGAAGAGCCTTTAATGATAAGTGAGAAGACATTGATATGTCCAATAGGCACAAGCTGTACCTTGAGTTTCCCATCAGCTAGTTCTTCTCTGGCAACAGCCTGGTTTGTGGGCACAACTTACCATACAGGTCCTTTGCGCTCAGCTTGGAGGCTCCGTCCGCTTTGCCCATGCTGCCACTGTAAAACAAAGAAGGTACAAATAAACCATCAGTTCCTGGTTCTTTTTAACATCTGCCTTTACAATGCGACTCATACACTAATGTGATAGCATGGTACATGTCCACGGCTTTCTGACCATTGAGTAATGTGTTGGAGCACTGGCCTGCCCCACCAGGCCTGGACAAGGTTGGCTTCTGCATCCACCCATCCAGCTGTCCACGCCTCCTCCTGAGCTGGTAAATGCAACAAGTTCTTGCTTCTTACTCAACAGCATAGCAATTTTTTTTTTGCCTTTCAGCAACCCAGATCTAAAAACAGCACAGGCCTTTTGCCCAAGATGATGAACGTATGGGCTCTGCTGATCATCACCCAACTAAACCTCTTGGTTTAGAAGATGGGGGAACTGCTTGGGTAGGCTGCAAAGGGGAAGGAAGGAATTCACTCCTCTGTCTGAGGTGAGAAATAATGGGTTGAAGCTGTAGACAGGGCCAGATACATGGAAAAGCTTGCTAGTAGGCAGGAGAGCAAGGTCAAGGGGCAGACCCCATGGGGAGAATGGGAAATCTCCCCTGCTGTTTTTTAGCAAGATTGGACATCCATCAAATGTGGTTCAGGTGTCTCTGGCTGATCCTGTCACAGGAGAGGGCAGAACAAGAACAAGAGGTCGTAGACTTAATTTTCTATTGATTTCAACCTCATTCCCTGTGACCCTTTTCTCCTAACATCTTCTGATCCCTTTGTGGCATTCCCTGCTGTCAGCACAGAAACCTCGTGGCTCTCCCTGGAGAGACCAGCCTTTCCCTCCTCATCACATTAGTCAGATGTGGCGGGACTCTGAATTACCAGGCAAAGCACTGGCTTGTCTGATGGTTCCCCAGGTTCTCTCTGCAACCCTAACTATTATCCATGCCACAAGCCCCATGTCACCAAACCCAACAGATGGAAACAGGAGACAGGGCAGCCCATTTGGGCCCATCTTCACTAGAGTTACCTCCACTTACAGAATCCCCTGGCAGAAGAGAGCTTCTAGAGGTGCTGTTTTAGGGACAGTGGCTCACAATGAGTGATATACCTGGGCTGTTACTGGGAGTAACCAAGGTAAACAGAGACCCCTCCAAATAATACCTGCGTCCACCCAAACCTGAGGCAGTGTGAGTGCCTAGATTAAGGGCCCTAATTAATGAACCCTTTTGAAATATACTCCTTGAAGGCAGACGCTCAGATATAGAACATTTCAAAATGTGGAAGGACATAATTGTGTGTAAAATACCTGAGTGGTAGGGTGTCTAAGCATGGGTTACCTCCCTCGTAATGCTATCCCACCCCTCCCCATCCATGCTTAGCTTGTGTGTAGGAGTGCACAGCCAGGAGATAACGGTGTTTTCTCCAGCTCTGGCCTGGCAGGGGAAGATCAAAGAGGGATCTCTGGGTTTCAGGCCCTGTGGTCAGGTTGCCCTGCATGGTGCAGTGAGTCAGTGGGTGGCAGGCATCTCCTTTTTGCTCTATCCTGACGGTCCCCTGAGGGCTGGTGGTGGTATGGTACATGGTGCTCATATGCATACGCTGTGCTCTCTGGAGACTGAGAGCATGCAGGAGGGAGGGAGAGAGCTGGTGGCTCTAGTTCAGGCTGTGGCGTGCCGTGGCTCTCCTCCAGGCTGCAGACAGCTTGTCTGGGGTGGCGTTACCAAGCTGTGATGCACAAGACCCCAGAGGCATGAGGCAGCAGCGATGGGTACAACTACAGCCTGAGAGATGCCGAAGCTGGGCAAAGCGAACAGCTGGGGACTTGGGGGGCAAGTGGGACTGCTGGGAGCCTCCCCCTGCGTGGTAGGGAGGAGGTGGGGCATCAACCCCAAGCCAGAGGGAGCCAACGTTACCCCGCCAGGGAGGTCCTTACTTTGCTGAGCCAGGGCTGCTACTGAGGGATCCCTTGAGACTCATGTCGCTTCGCAGGACTGGCAGCTGGAAGGGAAGCAGAGGAGCCAGGTTAGTGATCAGACAACAGCCTCCACACACTGCCGGGTGATTTGTCTGCGGGGTACCTCCCACCACCGCTGTGGGTCTCCCTGCAGCGGCACAGGCAAACAGAAGCATTCAGATGGGCACGATGGAGGTTTCTCATCGCTCTCTGCCTCCCGCAGACAGTCGAAGAGCTGCCTTTGACCAGGGCTGAGCTGAGACCGAGACGTTGCAGAGTGCCTTTCCAAAACCTGTTTTTATCTTTCCACTCTCACCTGTCCCTTCTAGGCACAACCGGACTCTGTGATATTTCAGCACGTCCTTTTTTTAATCAATCAAAGCAGCCCTGGCTACAGCTTAGCCCAGGCTAAGGTGGCCTTTGCCTCTATGGTCAGTCAGAGGCTATTAACAAGCACGTGGATCACTGTGTCCCCTGCGCTCAGGTGCACTCACGCTGTTAAGTGTCCTGAGTCATTTCATCATGCACATACTGCCGTTAGCTTTTCTTATGTGGCAGTATTAAGCTCAGTGCCAGCCATTAAAGTGTCCTCACCAGGTTATTCCTCGCATAGAGAAGAGTGACGGAACTGTGAATGCTGCTCCACTGGCAGCGAAAGAAAGGAGAAGAAATTCCTACAAATGGCTGACTGCCTGGTGAGAGGCAGATGGCTTGGTTCACCGATCTTTCCTTCCTCTCTCTGATAAGAATTTTAAACGAAGGGAAGATTGAGATGGATCCAGGCACTGCTCTGTGAGCAAAACTGAAAGGAGAAATAAAGGAAGGGAAAACAAAATATAATAAAAACTTAGGAGACATTTTTTATGGGGATCCAAGATATTCACCGCTGCTCCCATGTGCGACTTGAAGGAAATCTGAGACAAAGCCATCAAGTTTTTGTACTCGGTTTTGAAAAGCTCAGGAGCCACCTGCATGTGAGCTGGGTACTCCGCTCCTCTTTTTACCTTTGCCTGGATGAAACCCCACTCATCTCATTGAAAGGCTGGCAGAATTCAAAGATATAGCTTTAAAGTACTTGTTGGCCTAAAGGGAGAAATTAATCAGCGTCTTCAATGGGACTTCTTGCAGCGTGCACCACAGTGCTGCTATGAGAGGTATCCTTGGCAGCGGGCAGAGCTGTCTTGCAAAGGTTTTTCTTAGCCGAGCTTAGACCAAATTGGCCTGTAATTCCTGGGGAATACTTTGGAGTCATCCCTGGCATCTGGGATTTCCTCACTGGAGGCTGAATCTCTCTGCTGCAGGGCTTGCTGTGCCGCCAGCAGAGCTGCCCTAGATTCCTTGTGCACCCGTTTCTATTCCTCAGGTTGGAAACACGTTTGCGGTATTTTGCTCTGCGTGTTTTGCCCTGAGGTCAAGGTGGATGCAAAGTTTTCTTGCTGATCTTAACAAGACTGCACGTGTGTCATAGAGGGATATATTTTCTGTAGATACAGCTCTTTAGAGAAAACAAACCGCTTGCGTGTATGCTTCACAGTTGCATGCTGCATGCATGGTGGCACGGCTATGCACGCTCATGTGTCCACATAGACCTTGCACAGGGGGTCTCTGGCATGTTTTCGGCCCAGCCTTATGCCCTTCAGCATGGTCTGTGTTCCAGTGATACTTCTTTGAAGTGCATGAAGTGAATTTTTTAGATAGGATGTTAAATTCTCCCTTTCCACTCTCTTTTGGTAGATACTATAGTCCACGCATGCACGCTCACGCAGATATAAAATCATATACATGTTAGAATAGAAGCTTGATGTTCTGCCAACCTCTCTGAGCGTAATAAAACCCGTCCCAGTGCCCAAGCTTGGGTACCTGTGAATTTTTCCTCTGTTAATAGCTGTCTGTTGGTTTCCTTTTACAGTCCTCACACTGTTCCTATCTCCCAGATCTCTGAGTACATTAGCATAAGATACCTAGAAAAAGGGAACGTGCTCTAATAAACCCAGATCTGTTCTGTTTACTTTATACTATTTGATCACATCAGTCTCACGGCTCATGATCAGAGTCAGGTACATTTTTGCTTATTAATGTAATGTTTCTAGCTCTCTTCCACTTACCGCCCCAGGGCTGTGCCTTTACGGACTGAAACCCAAGGTGCTGCAGTAGGTAAGCAAGCACTGAGTTTGCCCCACAGAGCTCAGAGCTTGCTCCCAAATCCCATCTGTGAAATGACGGGAGGCAGCCAGGGACATGCTAGCTTTTGTTTTTCCCTTCACAAGCTCCACCAGAAAGAGAAAAGATGGGAGTCTTCTCCTGCTTTTAGAAGAATCCATGTGGTCAAACCCTCTACTGCTCCTAGGGGAGCAGTAAATTTGCCATTTGGGAATGGCAAATTTTGCTGCTAAGCCTCGTGGGTGAAGCAGGATCAGCCATAAAATGAGCTCACTCTTAATCTCCTGCTAGTTAATAAGAAAGTACCCAAGAAATAAGCTGGGTTCCCTAGAAGAAGACATAAGAAGCTGTGATGATGTACCACGGCTAGCAGAAATGCCACTGGACCTCAGCAGCAGTCAGAATTAGTTGCCACTGATCTGAACGCACTGCTGGAAACGTGTGATAGGAACACCCGCAACCCATGAAGCAACATAAGACAGGCATAAAGGGCTTTGCACCGCTTGCAGTCCCATTTGTATGCTGGGGCTTCAAAAGTCTTTCGCCGGGCTAAGCGGCGGATGCACGCGCGCTAGCGCCGCTGATGTTTCGGGAAGGAGGCTGACTGTAGAGGGCCCTTGCTGACGTGTCGGACTGAGTGATCCCTGGAACATCTCGGTGTTTGTAACGCAGTAAACCCCAGTGCTGGCAAGCCTTTGCCCCATTGGCTTCCATTCTTTTTATTTATTCATACTATTTTTATTATTTGGCCTTTGCCTGCTTTTTTACGCTGCTCTAAGGACCCTGTCTCTGTTCAAACTTCTGTTAGTCGAAACGAGGATGTGGTGTGATGCTGGCCAAGTTAAACCAGGACAGAGCCTGCGCCAATGCTTTCAAATCAGTTTAAGTTGTCTGATATTAATTGAATCTTCACTAGTGGGGGGGGGGACCTGTTTCGGAGGGGTCAGGAGTTTTAAAATAATTTTGCTAAATTGAGACAACACTGGATTTGAACAAGATTGAGAATGTGTCAGCTTTAACTACGCTCAGAGCCCTCAAAAAAAACATGTGAGAGACAAGATGGAGCCTTGGCGGAGCAGGTTGCTTTCCCCAGGGTTTTTCCCCGCTCCATGGGGGCGTCCCTAAGAGCTCCTGCACTCTGCAAGGTCTGATGCACAAGTTGTCTTCTCCCGGCTGTCCTCCTCCTGGCTTGGCTCATGCTTCCCTGATTAGAGGGTTCCTGACCCGATCCCGATCCCTTCCTTATCTTCCTGCTGGGTGTGGCCGTTTTCTCCTCCTTCCCCAGAGGGTTAAGCATATATAGGAAGGGAAGCAAGAGGCAAATTTAGCGGTGCCATGTATGGCTGTACAAGGATTGCCTTTTCCTAGGCTCGCCAAACCTAAGCCTTGTGCATGAGCACAGCATTTCACGAGACAAGGGCTCCAGCAGCTAAGCCAGGCTCAAATTAAAGCCTGCTGTTTCGCAGCCCTCCGCTCTGCATTTCTCACTCCTCCCCCCACCAGTGCTGAGACAACTGTTTGTGGGGCAATTCTGTGGACTGAGTCAGTGGCATCCTCCAAAATAAGGTCACTTTAAACCCAGAGCTGTTCAGTGATCTGTTGTTGGGGTGGGTGGGTGTCGCTATCTGTCTGTCTGTCTATGTGATTCCACAAGTGGCTATTTTTAACCAAATCCATACCCCGGGGCACTTTACGGGGCCCTTGCACAAACATTTGCACCAGCGTGGCCAAGGGGTTGATGAAGAGCTGTGCAAGAGCGGGACTGAGCGGTTGGGGAGAGGGGTGTGAGGCATAGGGCAGTGTCCCCTGTGACTCACACAACCGGGGCTGCCTCTTGCATCCTCGAGACCAAGCCAGTACCCAGAGCAGGTGCCCCTGCAGGCAGCGATGGCTGGTGGGGCAGGTCAGGGAGTGGGGACAAGTAGCAGCACTACACTTCTGCCAAGGGGGCCGGTACTCACGGGCACCCTCCGGCTAAAGCCGGACACTGACTCACCCCCAGGGTATGTCATGAGTGTGAGCCAGCTAAGTGATCCTGTAAACCTCGGCCCAGCAGCTCGCCCGTGCTCAGGTCATGCCCAGGAGATTTCACATGCTAAAAGAGAGGGTGGCAGGGAGACCAGCAGAAGGCAACGCTAAAGGACAGCGAGATGGATAAAGTTGTATTGTACTTTAAAGCAAAGGAAATCTCACTCCCTGACTTTCCGGACATCCTTATCCTTGAAGGTCAAATATCCTCCTGAAGGCATACGCAGAGTCATCGTAGAGGCCTGTCATTGTTGCCTTTGCTACATTTCTTTACTCTTACTTTTATAGCAAACGGAAGAGGGCCATACATTGTTTTGACTTTTTCTGAGTCTCTTTCAAGAGGAAGCTGCAATGTTGCAAGGGTGGAGAAACTCCGGCGGACAGGAAAGAATAATAAAGCTCTGTTCTCTGTGGGCCAATCACTGCTATTGGTCATACATTTTTTGGTTTATTATTTTTATTAAGAATACTTCTCACTCTTCTGCTATGGTCATACATTATTTTAGTTCTCACAGCAAATATAAAATTCTTGTGAAAACTTCTGGACTTTAGGTGAACACTAGCCAACTTGAAAATGTTGTGAAATACCCGTGTATTTTTTAGGACTATTATTATTAGCATCATCATCACTGTTAAGAAAAACAGTAGCATCTAGTGTTTGTGTGTGCTTTTCATCATGGGTCTAAGAACACCTTTAAGAATGCAGTCAGTTAGACCAGGCTGGAGAAAATTTGTTGGTATCAGGCCATTGGAACATATGATTGTATTGGTAGGGAAATACTGAGCAAAACACAAAAGCTTTCGGTGGAACGTCACTGAAGATCAACAGTAGAAAAATATAGCAAAGCTTAAAGTT